TTAGCTAGAATCAATCCGTTAATCTAATTGAACTTGGGAACTTATCTGCTTGAGTTAGTTATTTCTTTCTTCCTTGTTTTATTTATTTCCTTTCTTTTTCATTTCTGTTTTGTGTAGGGAAACTAAATTGGATCATTCAATCACCAATCCTCGTGGGATCGACCTCGCACTTCCATACGCTAAACTACCAACGGCTCGTGCACTTGCGAGTATCACAAGTTGAGGATGCAGTTGAACCCATTTTGGTGCAGCTGTATCTACGCAACAAGGCCCCACTTTTAAATCTATCTGTACATATCCAAGTGACACCTCGCTTTGGTTTCCAAAGCCGCAAATGTTTATCTGGTTTTTGACTATCCTTGACAGAGGAATGTCAGCCGCCGTGAGCACGGATAAAGGCATGATATTGATGGAAGAATCGGTGTCCACCAAGGCTCCCCTAATGAACACATTATTGATTTGCCCTTCAAGATAAAGCGGCCTTTTGTGGTCGGGATACGGGACCTCCATATCTTCATCAGTGAAGATAATAGCATTGTCATTCTCCAAGAATCCTCTCTGTGGTTGAGTGGTAAGGCAATGAGATCCATATTCTTCAGAGACACGCATCAGAGCCTCAGCAGCTGCTTCCCTAGCCTGCGGCCCGTAACCGAGCTGATCAAAGAGTGACTTGAATTTTGGGTTCCTTTGAAGGGCTTGTGCTGCCGTTGGCCCCTACTTTAGACTTTGGTAGCGTTCCATTACGGTTATCTCAGCCTCCGTAAGGTTATGAAGTGTTACAGCAGTGGTTTCTTGATTTGTTTGTTGGCCAACCAAAGTTCGGTGGTGCTTCTCCAGTATGTCTAGCGTGAGTTCCTCATTACTAGGTCTGGCTTCCCATTCGTCAGAGAATGGCCATGGAGCATCATGACTTGGGGGCTTTGAGTACTTAGGCTTCCTCCATGTTCCCATGTGATTCCCATCATCATTCATCAAATCATCAGAACACATGATTACATCGGCTATCTCTTTCCCTCTTCGTTTGGGTAAGGGATCATCATCAATGGCTTGCTTCTTAGAAGGTAACTCAAGAGTTCCATCATGTACCTTGGCATGCAAGATCTTTCGTAGAGCCTGACAGGCAGTGGTTGGGTGTCCCACATATTGATGGTAGCGGCAGTATCTCGAATCGTTCTTTTCTTCTCTGGTAGGGACCTTTTGTGGTCTTGGCGGTTTGATGACTCCCTCTGCAAACATTGTATCCAAGATAGCATGGAGTTCCTCATCTCTGCACGGTAGCGGCGGGTACCTCTCCCTTTCTCTTCGTTTGCGTGGGTTGAAATCGCTTGAGGATTTTTCATCTACAAACAAAGTTTGTTGGGGTTCCTTCTCCCTTTCTCTTCGTTTGCATGGGTTGAAATCGCATGAGGATTTTTCATCTACAAACAAAGTTTGTTAGGGTTCCTTCCTTTCATTCCTCCATGTTCTTTGCCCGGCGGCTGGTCTGACAGACATGCTTGTTTTCCTCACTGCTTCCAGAAGTCTAGAGAACTAGTTGATTCCAATGTTCTCAAGATATACCATGTATTCTGGTACAATGTTACTTATGCAAATCTCAACAAGCGCCATTTCATCTTGTTCATCATAACAATCAAGAGCTAAATCACAAAATCGACGAACAAAGTCCACAGGGTTTTCTCTAGGCTTTTGGCGAGTGTTATTGAGTTGGGTCGTAGTTACTCATTCCTCATGCTGTAAATATTTTCTACAGAAACTGCTTGCCAAGTCTTCCCATGAGCGAATAGAGCCCGATGCCAAAGTAGTATACCAAGTATAGGCGCGGTCTATGAGACTCTTCGAAAATTCTCGAACACGTAAGTTATAATCACCAGCATGAGATCCCAAAGCATCAACGAAGCGACTGATGTGCTTCTTTGGACTTCCTTTCCTCCCATCAAAGAGGATAAAGTTTGGAGTTTCATAGCCCTTAGGATAGGGCTGCTCGAGTAGGCTGGCTGGATATGGCGGTTGAGGGACGTATTTCCAATCTTCATGGCTTCGATTCAACTCTTTTTCCAGCATGGCAATCACATCTTCACGGGTGACAAAAGATGCTTCCTTTTGCTCAGATCCTCTTCCGGCATCAGCTGAGTTTTCTAACGGCGTCTTTTCGCGTTGCTCTTCATTTTTGTCATTCTGATTGGAAACAGATTTTTTCAACTCTTTGATCGTTTCAATGATTTCTCTCTGCGATTTACCCATAGCATGGATGGCTGCGATGAGCTCTGGGAGCGTGTACTCTTCTCCATTTGTTGGTCTCTCCTCTTCACAGGAGCTGTTCCCTCTTGACGTCGAGTCACCGTGGTTTAACTCTTCTTGGGAGGCCACAGTGTTGCTTCTGGTATTCTTTCTTGGAGGCATTGGTGAGAATGGCGGCCTGAGTCCCCAATGAAGTCACCAATTTATGTAGGGGTCTTTTTTGGTTACGACAACTCAATGCGGACTTGGGCCGTCGTAAAGAGCTAATTGTGATGCCCCTTTGCCTGAGTTCAGAACCAGGCCCAAAACACTCCGAGAAAATGTAGATTTTCAGGGAATGCTCTATTTCTTCCCACCAAGAAGGTTATGACTGTGGTAAAAGAATTAGAAAGTTACGCTTGGCTTGAGAGGCTTGTGATGCGGGAGCTAAGTTTCCACAAGTTTAGCGAGAGAGAGAGAGAGAGATTGACAGATTGCAGCTTGGGTTGGTATCAAAGACCTTGCAGGAATATTGGGTGATGGGGTGATATCTGAGGCTTTGAAGGATATGATCGTAGGAGAAGGTTAAGTTTGGTATAGATTTCTGGGTTTCTTGGTGTTTTTCGTCGTGTTCCCCCCCGGGTTGTCTTTTCCTTTGCTTCCTTGCCCTTTTATACACCTTGCGAGCTCACTTCCCCATAGGCGTGCACTCTGGTATCAAGGCGGTCCGGCCTGCTCTCCGGCTTCGAGGTGGTCGTTTCCTTTTGCTGCCGGACCTTTGTTTTGCCGCTGGGCCTTTGTTTTGCTGCTGGACCTTTGTTTTGCTGCCGTATGGGTATTTAGGTGGGATATGGGTAGGTCGGAGGAAGCAACCGGTCGCAAGGGTGAGCGACCGGTCGTTTTGAAGCAGATTCGAAGAAGCTGGAAATCGCGACCGGTCGCCCAGAACGTGCTGGTGCTGGGCTTTTCTTTCTCTCTGCTTACCCATTTAATGACTCAAGAAAATGGGCTTGGCTTTGGTGCCCAGCCGAAAGCCTCCAGTTTTGAGCCACTAATAGGCCTTGTGTAACTTGTAACCATCCACACCACAAACCAATCAGCAAGCCCGATGCGTGTAATTAAGTGGCTTGGGCCCACTTAGGCTTGTTGCGAGATTTGACACAACAGGGAGTTGCTTGGCATTGCACGTTATCGTGTGCTTATGCTTGGGCTATGTCGTATTGCAGTGGCTCGGGCTTTGTGTTGGATAATGCTTGACAGTGCAGTGGGCTAAGTGGGCTTGGGCCTACAAAACCTTGTAATTCTTACAAGTTTGCATGTGAAAGTGGTAAACTCACACCACTACCTCCCCACGTGCCAAATTGTAGCTTTGCTTGGCATGGCATGTATGCATCGGCTAGGCTGTTTTTATAGCATGATAGCGACTGGGCTTTAAAATATGCATGGGCCTTTCCTATGATTTTTGGGGCCTTAACACCTGCTTATCACCATGGAATTCATGCTTCAAGATATCCCAAGCTCCTTTAGACCATTCTTCATGAGAAATCCTAGGGAAGATCTCATCAGAAAACTGCTCCCTGAATCAGACCCAGAGTTTTAGCATCCTTCATGCGTACCTCTGTGTGGGTCATCTTCCCAGCACCACTTGATTCGTCTTTTTCTTTCTTCTTTGTATCAGATTCATCAGCTCCCTTCGAATCTGAGCACTCTATTCCTTTCTCAACAAATTCCCATAATCCATGAGATTTGAAGATGGTTCTCATCCTTATACTCCAAAACTCATAGTTATCGCCATTGAAGATCAGCGCTCTCAGCTCACCACCTACAGATCCTGCCATGTTAGACACAGATCTCGCCAAAGAATTCCTTCAAATCTCAACTCATTTCCTTCACAGATTCAACGCCCATATTTAAACAATCAAACCAGGCTCTGATACCATGTTAGAATACTCAGACTATGATCTGATTAATTTGGATTTTTGGTAGATGGAGCTCAAGATCTTAAGGAAAATTAAAATACAGAGAAGAGGAAGTTTTAGAATTATCCAATAAGAACTTGGAGAGAAAGCTGGAGACACTACTACAAAAATTGAAATAGACGACGGGAAAAAACGGTCGTCTTTTTGTTTTGAAAACCATCGTTAAATCGATCGCCATCTTTTGAGTGTTAAACTACGACGGTTATTCACCGTTGTCTATTAATAGTAATGACGACGGTTTTACGCTAAATCGTCATCTATGTACAATAAAGACGACGGTTTTTTTAAAATAACCGTCATCTATTAACATTAAAGACGACGGTTCGAAAAACCGTCGTCTATTAACTCTAAAAACGACAGTTTGTAAAAAAAAAAATCATCGTCTATTAATGCTAAAGACGACGGTATTGTTTAAAAAATTGCCGTCTATCAATTGTAAAATTGGGCGTAGTGAATTAACATTTTGGCTTCTTTTTATTTATTTTTATTTGTTTCCAATGGTTCTCTACAAGGATTTTAACTGAAAAAAACCATAATGCTTTGTGAACAATAAATTCAGGTCCAAATATGATATTACCCACACCATACATATATATACTCAAAAATTGTTTCTTTCATAAAACTTAAAGATTCAATAGTAATTACATAATTTATCAATCTTGATTCCTACCATATCCATAAAAAATAACATATCCATAGCAATAAACTATAATTAGAAATAGAAGAGCTGCATGTGATTGCTCATAAATGCTGCCCATTCGATCCAAATTTCATCAATTTGTTCTTGTGTGTATGAGTTAGCGCTGTCTTCTTGCACTGTAAAACCAAGATTTTTTTTTTAAAAAAAAAAGTTTTAGTAAGAGATATATTTCTAATCTTTTATGCCCTTTCCATTTGCAAGAGGAAACAAGAAACAAAAGGACAGAAACTGCAAATGTTCAAACAACAAGAAACTGCAAATAGTTTTCTTACACAGTGCTTTCTTTTCTTCTTGAAAGCCACATCATTTGTTATATGAATTGAATACACACCACAACAAGAAACACACACAAATACATTTATTTGCACAAGTGTCAAATGCAGTCACATAGGCATATGATGAAGGATTCCATTGAAAAAAAAAACTTGTAATCCACATTATTGGCTCTCAATGTGATGGGCACATGAATCAATTTGACAAAGTAGAGGCAAAAGATTAACCGTTGAAGTACAATAGGAACAACAATAAAAGACAAAGAAGCTTTTTAACAAGCATGCATACCTTTGCTATTTTGACTAGCCGATCATAGTTATCATGTCCATAGAACAATGGCTCCTTACAAAATATCTGTACAGCACAAGGCTAAGCATCACAAGAGAGCATCACATACTTTGACATGGTATCAAATTTTGACTCTCGCCATCTGCAACCCATGGATAAATAGGCAAGCAGATCAAGATCTATTGTTCATGCATCACTAAGAGAAGTTTTATCCATCACATTTGAAGTACTCATTTCGGGATAGAAAAACTATTGCATATATTCAAGCATCCCCTACTAAATGCATAAATTTAATTATATCAGGGGTTGATTTTGGGCTAGATGGGGAAGTGGATACACAATACTTGATATATTTAGGCCAAATACCAGCATAACCATAATGAGCTCAAGAGTATGTGATATATAAGGTGCCTTAATAGAACAAAATAGGTTGGGAAATGCTCACCATTCTAGCAAACATGCAACCAAGACTCCACAAGTCTAAAGAATAATCATAATCTTGTGAATCAACAAGAAGCTCAGGACCTTTGAATACCTGAAATCAAATGGGGGCCGGGGGAAGAGCATAAGACAAATCTGAACACAAAAAATTTATGTTACTAATAACCATCATTTCATAGTATAAACTAAAAGTCCTCAAAATAAAGAAAAAGAGGGTGGGCGTGGAGGGAGAAGGGGACTTGTTTCCTAAAACAATGTAGCTTTAATAAGGGCAGTTCTGTCCAGCAAGTGTCTTCCCACATTCCTACATTCAAATATAGAATTGTAATTTAAACTTTCCACACAATCAATTCTCTATATACAAGAAGGTTTTAGGCAAGAGCAACAGTTTCTACAACAGAAAATTTTAAAAAAGTTATCACAGTTTCAGATAAGAATGTATGAGATGTGAATAAATATTATTGTCTTTTGTGAAGTAAAAGATATGAAAACAACCTTGAAGCAACACGAACATTATACTCCTTCTCAGGGTGATAGAACTCGGCAAGGCCCCAAACAGAGCAAACCCAATATCTCATTCAATATCATAGTCACTTAATCAGAAACCAAGTTAAAGTTTTACCTGTCTTGCAAGGCCTCCCTTACTGCAGCTAGCTTCACCTCTATAGCCTACAGAACACAGCAGCCATATCCTTACAATTTAAGTAAAAAAAAACAACGCAAAAAGAATATTAGGCTGAAAGAATGACACTGCTACCTCACTAACCCAATCGAATCTGAAATCAAATATAAAAAATCCAACACCACATATAAATATAGAAATTAAAACAGCAAATCAAATCACAATAGCATAAACAAAATTGAAACAAAAAGGAAAAGAGGGAGATGATACCTTGATAAAATCTTGATCTCCAATCAAACGAATTTTAGGATAAAATTTTGAACATAGAAGAGTGATAGAGAGAGAGAGGGTTACCTTGAGAGTGTAGACATGAGAAGCTTTGGGGACGAGCTAGAGAGACAGATCACAAGACAGAGAGCGCTGACCAGAGAGAACCATCGAGAGATAGACGACGAGAGAGATCCGTTGAGAGGAAGATGGCGGCAGGTGATGACTGATGCGAAGAAGACGATGGCATCCACAGCGTCGCCGAGTCGATGGCGTCGCGGCATCGATGGAGATCGCAAAGGAGATCGTGGAGGCGAAGAAACCTGTGGGCTCGAGAGAGACCTCATGAAGGAGATCTCGATGATTGTGGAGGTGTCCTCGTGAAGATCGTGGGGGCGATGGAGTGTTTCAGCGATGTGAAAGGGGAGTTGAGAGAGATAGGGTTTCTAAAGGTCGCGAGAGAGTGCGGTGAAAGTTGCCTTTCAGCGAAAACTTAAGTGAATTTTTTGTCGAGCGCCTTTTAAAGCACGACGGTTTTTATAAGTAACCATCGTAATTTTTGCCAGCTTATTTTAAAACACGACAGTTTTAGATGGAACTGTCGTAGTTTTTCATAGTTTTTAAAAACACGACGCTTTTTAATTTTACCATCGTTAAAAAGGCGTCGTAGTTTTCCATTTTTGTAGTAGTGAGAAAAATTGAGTCTGTTTTCTCATGCTTACACACGCAGAAACTGTGCAGCCAAAATATATCCGTTGGGAATAGAATATTCCCACTTACATCATCCAAATCTAGCCCTTCAATTTAACTATCCTATGAAATAGCAACACATGGCAGAATTCGTTACTTAAACTAAGAATACATCTTAGTTGTTCATTGGACTATGATCCAATGGTTCACAATTAATTCAATACAATTAAAACCAAATAACACTAATACTCAGCTAACACACTTATACTTCAACAATCTACACATCCATCCATCCATCCATCCACATCATCATCAATTGCATGGTAGACCGTGCGATGCCCACGCACACCTCATCCAACACGAAGTAGGATCACCTGTGTTGACGCATATCCCCTTGGCTCGAAATGTCAGGCCGTAAGATTTGCACAATCAACAAAAACAAAGGGTGGATTCATTGGCCACCGAGGTTTGGGAAAAAAGGAGTTGTAAACATCCCCAAATTTTCTTGGAGGAGTCGAAGCCAACAGTGAGGGAAAGCACCGATTCAAAAAGAGTGCTGGTGAGGTAACTAATGACGAGTTGATCTTGTTGAAACCAGGTTTCTTGGTCAGGGTTGGGCTGAGGAGGAGTGACAACTTGGTCAAGAGATGGGGCAGTAGGAGGCAGAAAGGGTGAGGGTTGTGAGGAAGAGCCATCAACAAATTTCCAAAAGTTGTGGCCAATAAGGAAGGGTTTGAGTTCCCGGAGCCAGAGAAGATAGTTTCGGTAAGTTTGATGAAGTGGGAAGAGTTTGGGCCAGGAAGAGAGGAGAAGGAGGGTTGAGAAGCCATGAGAAAATAGGACGACAAGGGTTTGTGGTGGTAGGGAAGGAGGAGTTGTCACTACCATAGTATGAAATATCGATAATATCGATAATATTATAATTACCATAACATTTCCTTCTAATTTTTTTGTGATAAACTAATAGATAATTAACTAAATAAACATTCTCCAAAGTTTCAATAAAAATTTACAAGTTTTTCTTATAATTTCCGTGGTTTTTATTCAATTTTTATCGATATCGATAATATCCCGATATTTCCATCGAAATTTCCGTATTTTTAGACTACCGATATTTCCGATGTCATCGATATTTTAGACCTTGGTCACTACACAGAGAGAGAGAGAGAGAGAGAGAGAGAGAGAGAGAGAGAGAGAGAGAGAGAGAGAGAGAGAGAGAGAGAGAGAGAGAGAGAGAGAGAGAGAGAGAGAGAGAGAGAGAGAGAGAGAGAGAGAGAGAGAGAGAGAGAGAGAGAGAGAGAGAGAGAGAGAGAGAGAGAGAGAGAGAGAGAGAGAGAGAGAGAGAGAGAGAGAGAGAGAGAGAGAGAGAGAGAGAGAGAGAGAGAGAGAGAGAGAGAGAGAGAGAGAGAGAGAGAGAGAGAGAGAGAGAGAGAGAGAGAGAGAGAGAGAGAGAGAGAGAGAGAGAGAGAGAGAGAGAGAGAGAGAGAGAGAGAGAGAGAGAGAGAGAGAGAGAGAGAGAGAGAGAGAGAGAGAGAGAGAGAGAGAGAGAGAGAGAGAGAGAGAGAGAGAGAGAGAGAGAGAGAGAGAGAGAGAGAGAGAGAGAGAGAGAGAGAGAGAGAGAGAGAGAGAGAGAGAGAGAGAGAGAGAGAGAGAGAGAGAGAGAGAGAGAGAGAGAGAGAGAGAGAGAGAGAGAGAGAGAGAGAGAGAGAGAGAGAGAGAGAGAGAGAGAGAGAGAGAGAGAGAGAGATTGGGATCGATAAGGCTGATACCTTGTAGAAGTTTAACATGTTGTGTATTGATCTGTGTAAGAATTACAATATTTATATTTGTACAATTGAGATATAAACGATAATAGCCTTAAATGATAGTAATTACAAATATTTGGAGAGCAAGTCAACTATTGTGATTGAGAAGAATTTGATCCCCTTAAGAGTGCGTGTGGTTTAACAAAAGCAACATTCAACAAAACCCAAATAGCTATCAGTTTTCTCAGCACACCCAAGAATGCCCCCAAGAACACAGAAGGATACAACCGTCACATCATGAGCAACTATCCAACGGTAGTATTCCAGCTGGAGCCCTATGTATAGACAAAGGATAGTCACAAAGAATATGCCATGCATATGCTTTTGTGTTCTTTAGGGTTTTGCTAGGGTTTCTAGGTCTTGCCTTTACCAAAAGCAAGGTAAGCTGGACCATTTTTGTATCTCAATACTACAAAAAACGAAATAGACGACGGTAATCCACCGTCGTGTATCATGGTTTACAACCGACGAGAAATCGACCGCCGTCTTTTCACACATGAAATAACGACGGCAAATAACCGACGTGGTTAATTAGTACACGTCAGTAAAAAAACTAAAACCGACGTCGATTTGATACATAAAAGCATAAAAAGAGACCTTTCGACTATAATAGACGACGATTTTAGTAAAAAACAGACGTTTAAATAATGTTAAATGTCAAAAACAACTACAAAACCGACGTAAATATGTTATCAACGTCTCTAAATCAAACAAAACCGACGTGTAAAACTTAGAAACCGTCGTGGTTAATAAATACTACGTTCACTAAATAAAACAACTGAAGTCTAAAACATATAACATGGCATATATTTACTTGAACTAACGTAAAAACAATAATAACCATGACCCTTTAGGTCACCACAGACGTTGAAAATTATTTTGACGGCTTGAACACAAAAAAAACGACGTGGTTAATATATTACAGGTCATAAAAAAACTAAAACCGACGTCGATTTGATACATAAAAGCATAAAAAGAGACCTTTCGACTATAATAGATGACGGTTTTAGTAAAAAAACAGACGTTTAAATAATGTTAAATGTCAAAAACAACTACAAAACCGACGTAAATATGTTTATCAACGTCTCTAAATCAAACAAAACCGACATGTAAAACTTAGAAACCGTCGTGGTTAATAAATACTACGGTCACTGAACAAAAAAACGGAAGTCTAAAACATATAACATGGCATATATTTACTTGAACTAACGTAAAAACAATAATAACCATGACCCTTTAGGTCACCACAGACGTTGAAAATTATTTTGACGGCTTGAACACAAAAAAAACGACGTGGTTAATATATTACAGGTCATAAAAAAACTAAAACCGACGTCGATTTGATACATAAAAGCATAAAAAGAGACCTTTCGACTATAATAGACGACGGTTTTAGTAAAAAACAGACGTTTAAATAATGTTAAATGTCAAAAACAACTACAAAACCGACGTAAATATGTTTATCAACGTCTCTAAATCAAACAAAACCGACGTGTAAAACTTAGAAACCGTCGTGGTTAATAAATACTACGGTCACTGAACAAAAAAACGGACGTCTAAAACATATAACATGACATATATTTACTTGAACTGACGTAAAAACAATAATAACCC